CTCCATGTCTCTCTCTCTCTCTCTCTCTCTCTCTCTCTCTCTCTCTCTCTCTCTCTCTCTCTCTCTCTCTCTCTCTCTTTGACGAAGACCATGTCTATGAAATTTGGTGCCCTAGACTTCATACACTCCTCTACACTACGAATATGTGCAGCCGCACATGATCATACAAAAGGTGGAAATGCGCTTCGACATCGTTTTCAAAAAACTAAAATCCGGCACATGACGAAAAAAAATGATATGAGCACTCGTACAAACGCAGGATCTACTATATTGCTATCTCCATCTACATGTGCTAAGCTACAACTTTCTCTATAACAAAATGTCAAGAAGTGCTACAGAGGTGCAAGTGAACAAGGTCGTTGCTCAGACCGTTGGCTCGGCGGAGTACACTCTTTGTAATGTTGAAGTTGGTTGTTAACTCAATTTTTTCTGAATTTGCGGTTGACCCCCGTTGTTTCTTTGCTCTCTATGATGGCTGTTGAGATAGAAGCAGTGCGTGATTACAATATTGTTTAACGTGTTGCTTGTACGCTCGCACCATCGAGTCTCCTGCATCACTCAGCGGGATTTTTTGTCTCCATGTCTTCGTTGCACATATTGTAAGCCCTTCTGGATATTGTACAGCAATACATGCAATGGTGGCGCTGCATTTCTCTGTCACCGGGGCAGCCATAAGGCCGTAACCGTAGAAGACCTCCTTGTATCTTGCGTTCCCGTCCTTCTTGTAATTATTATTATTTTGACGGTCGCACACCCCCACGAGGTTGTAAATCTTTCTTCTCACGCTTAGAGGATACAAGTGCAGTGACGGTTCGTAATATGCAAAATCCCACGTGACAAGTTCGACGGCGTTACGTTGTCTCCTCAGCCGGTTTGATATCAGTTCCCCCCATTTGATAAGCGTTCCCCACCAATCTTGTCTTAACTGCCTCTGCATCCATTCCGGGTCCATACTGCATGAAAAAAAAAAAAAACGGGAAAAAATAAAAACAAAGGCATCACAAACACAGACGAAGTACGGAACTGTGACTGTGAGTTCACGAGTCATTGCGGAACGGCAGTCAAAGCGGACACCGACGCAAGACGGACTGCAAGTTGTTCCGTTTGCCACTTTCGCGCCGTTGAATATGATCGACAATATTAAACTTTGTTATTGTGTTAGTTTTTTTCAGTTTCTGTTTTTGCCCATCTTCGTTGTGGCATGTCATTAAAGTCGTCGCCACGTGAATGATGATCCTCGACCTTTCGTTGATGAAGTGCAACATTGCATCTCTGATTTCGTTGCATACATGTCTGATATACTTCAACGTTGCCCTTTGCA